TACAATAATATAGGTAAAACCCTCAAACAAAAGCAAAATGTCTGAATTTAGGTTTTTTTTTGGGCTAATTATTTCATGCAGGTAACTTAATTAGCCCAATAGGCTAGCCAAGAATTTATTTTGCAATCTACGACAAATGATATAGTGAAGCACAAACTCGTCATGTCGATTTGACGAGTTTGTTAAAAAATATTTCCTGAGACTTGTCACGTCGAGGTGATAAGTTCCTTGGGAAGTAATTTTATTTTTAAAAGTTTTGTAAATAATTTAAAAAAAGAAAAAAGGAAAATTGTCATGTCAAGGTGACGAGTTACCCTTGAATTTAAAAATAAAATAGTTGTTGGGTAACATGCAACTTTTGAATTTTAAAAGATTTAATCGTTGAAACTCGTCACGTCGAGGTGATGAGTTTAATTGGATTTAATTAAAAAAATAATTTTAAAATTTACTAAAACATACAAAATAAATTAATTACAAAATAATCATAAAAGTTCTTACTAACTAAGACAATGCATTATAAAATTTATTTATATTTTTGTAGTTATTGACGATATTGAGGAGTGGTCTAATGATAATGGAATGAGGCTCGTCGAGTACGTCGGGGTCGTCCGCCTTGATCGTCTTTGTATTTGTTTGTATGTTGAATAGGAGGAGTACTGAATATCACTCCACTTTGAGATTTATATACGAAATATAGTGATAGACTACTTAAGGCATTTGATCCCATCATTGTCGTCATTAACTCGACTTGGCTACCAAAATCAGTACCTTGTTGACCATATATAATATGATCTCATTCACTCTCACCTATGTTCTGTCGAAGATGCTTGAATGCTTTGCTTTGCATCTCATAAACCTCCAACACAATTCGACTGACTCTCTATTGAAGCATGATATGGAGGATAAAACTATACTTGGCCTGATATGCAAAATACTCGACAGAAACAAAAGAAAAAGTTGTCGATAATGATGTTTTCTTACCCTTTGGAAATTGGCCTTCATTTTTTCCCATTGTTCTCCCTCTTCAATGTTGTTAAATATGGTTTTCCATTTGCTTCGTAATTTTGGAGGTAGGGAGAAATGTCAAAATCAAGGTCAACAACTGTAATTTTGAAACACATAATGACATATAAATGTTGCTCATTCCATTATTGAATGTATACAACATGCTTTTTTGAGCAATTATCTTTATGCTTCCCATACATATCAATTTTTTGGAATGTGTCCATATCAAATATTTTCGTATAAATTGGTAGATGAGACACAACCTATCGCAACACTCTATCTGTGGCATATATCTCAACAAACATAAAGTGTGGCAAAAGTGTAACGACATACCACAACTTCGACCTTCAAAAACTCGGGTGGTTGTAACCGTTGGATCTCATTGCCACAATAAATAATCCAAGAAAATTGTAAACATTAATTATAAAAGTTAGTATAAATAAAAAATTAGTATAAGAAATATAAAAGTTAGTAATTTACCACATATTGACTAACGATATCGATCCTCATTCATACATCTATTTTATTTGCACCCAGAACCATGGTCTCTGTAATTTTATGTTTTCATATAAATAATATAATAAATAAAAATTAAAAAGGTAAAATAAATTTAAAAATTTACTAAAAAATTAAAGTTGATAAATTACATTCCCGTCAAAGGTGTAACGCCCTGAAATACAGTTTAGGAGTTTCGGGTTTATTCGATTGGCCCTTAGAATAATATTTCCTTAGTTTATGAAGCTTTGGACCCATTTGAATTAGATTTGGGCTTGAGATGAGCCCAACAAACTTTAAAAGGTGTAACGAAGATAGTTTTCAAAACGAGGTACAGTCATCATGAGATCCTATTTATGTTGTTTGGACTCACTAATGCCCCGGTTGTATTTATGGACCTAATAAACAACATTTTCACCTATATTTGGACCAGTTTGTGGTGGTGTTTATAGACGATATCCTAGTTTACTTACGATCAGAGGACGAACATAACCATCATCTCCATATCGTACTTCAAATCCTCAGAGACAGAAAATGGTATGTCAAGTTCAAGAAGTACAAATTTTTCCTATCAGAGGTAGCATTCTTGGGGCATGTCATTTCAGTTGACGGCATCAGAGTTGATCTTCAAAAAATTTAGGCTATAGTTAAATGAGAATCCCCTAAGAATGTGTTAGAGGTGCGCCTGTTTCTCAGGTTAACTGGGTACTATCATTGGTTTGTTCAAGGTTTCTTGACGATAGCAACACCATTAACCAATTTTCTTCAGAAAGGAGTTCCCTTTGTTTAGGATGAGAGGCGGAAAAAGAGCTTCAAGCAGTTAAAGGTCATCTTGACCCAAGCCCTACTGTTGACCCAATTAGATTCGGGTAAGGACTTTACAGTTTTCAGCGATGCTTCTTTGAATGGACTTGTATGCGTCTTGTTGAAAGAAATTAAAGTTGTAACTTACCCATCCTGTCAACTTAAGCCTCACAAGAGTAATTATCCTACCCATGACCTTAAGGTAACAGTATTCGTGTTCGCCCTAAATATTTGGCGACACTTATTTTTTGGTGAGAAGCGTCATATCTTCACCGATCATAAGAACATCAAGTATATTCTCTCTCAGAAAAAGTTGAACCTCAGATAACGTAGATGGCTTGTGTAACACCCATTTCCCGTATACGTTTCTGTACACAAGTCACAGGTGTCACATGATTTTTTTAAAAAATTCTTTATTTGTAAATCTATAAAAAAAATCGAAAATAAAACAAAACATTTTCATTTATATAGTAATAATAAAACGTTTGTTGTAATATATTACAAAAATTATCACTTTAATACATTCGAGAGCATTTTCTTAAGTCCATATACATCCCAGCTAATTATCAAAATAAACATAAATGTCCTACAGTTAATGATGAGGCAACCTTTGATTGATGATGTCCACTACACTTCTTACTCTGATAGTCTTTGTTATTTCCTACATGTGAAATCAACGCATGCTAAGTATTTACTTAGTGAGACATAATAATACAAAATGTATTATACTTAAATATAGGCATATCACAAATTATCAAAATATATGAATGAAATCACATAATTCATATCAATTACATTAACTTGGCTTGGCTAACCAATTTTCATTCAAATAGCATGATAAACTATTTTTAGTATGCCCATCATACCTATCAATCATTATTTTCCAATTTAACCTTTATTTTGTCCAATGTATGTCAAATGAGAATGCAAGGTACATGCATTGCACCAAAGTGATGAAATGTAAATTCAAAAACTCATTATGAATTCCATAGATCGCACATATAGTACCGAAATGGTCATTCATAAACACATTATGAATACCATGGGTTACACATTTAGTGCCGAAAATGCACCGTTATGCATTAAACAAAATCGATCACTAACTTATATACACAATTGTATATCGAAATGGCAATTCATAAACTAATTATGAATACCATGATTGCACATATAGTGCCAAAAGTACACATAGTATTGATATGAAAATGCACTGTTATGCATTAAACAAAATCGATCGATACCATCATACACGAAGTATGTCGAAATGCACCTATGACTCTCAATGCACATACAATGGGCTTTTAAGTCAAATTCACATATTTAAACATTTATTTCTTCAATATCGATAACCATTAAACAACATCAACATTCATCTATTCATTTTAGAGCAGTTCATACTCTAAAACTTATTCATAATCTCATTCCCATAAACATTATGAAATCATATCAATGTATTGTAAAACATGCTTTATCGAAACATTTAAAGGTTGACTCGTCACAAGTCTCCCTCATTTCAAGAAGTACAACAAATGTACTCACCTACTATGCCTCACTAGTATGTTGTAATGATGTCCGACTATTCGACAACTTTATTCTTTCCCTTTTTCTTGCTTGACTCTGGAGCTTGGTTACGATCTACACAAGCATCAATTAATTACACATACCATACAAACATTAGTATACTCTCTAACATTTATACTTTTAATAATACTCAAAAATACTATTATATTCAATTTCTATTAAACTTCATCCTATCTAAAAATTTCAGACTCAATAGTATCGGTACCCCTATTATGCTATCGATACTTCTATATTATGGTACTGATACTCCCTTTAATATCGATACCATTTTTTCATTCTAGAATCCTCAGTATCAATACCTTCCTCTTAGTATCGATACCCACATCAGTATCGATACTAATTGCATCAGTATCGATATTTTTCATCATATTTCCTCAAATTTAACCCTATAGTATCAGTACTGTTCTTCTAGTACCGATACCCTTACCTAGATTTTTCATTTCTCATTTTGATTTTTACCCAATTTTTGTTAAATTCTTTTACTTTTACCTCCAACAATAACATTAAACTCATCATCATTAAACCCAACTAACTTTCCCTCATTAATCTTCCTATAGCATCTAAAATCTCCAAAGAACACTCCAAACCAAGAATCACACTACTTTTTCAAACATGTTTTTAATCACATCCATTGCTTCTAGTATATCATTTACTTCTTTGATAAGTCAAATTTACTTCTAAACCTCAATAAAAACTATTACTTCATCATATCACTCAAAAACTCATTTTCTTAAATCTCAAATAATTCACTAATCACTTAGTTTTAATCATCCTTGAACTTTCCATAAGCCTCTATATCACTTAAGGTTTTAAAACTAGCCCATAAACTAAAGGAAAAACCAACTTGAAGAAAACTTACCTTTGGCTATGGAGGAGAGCACATGATGAGCAAAAGAGGAGAAAAATAGCTAACTTTCCCCTTTTCCTTTTCTTAAATGTCCCTAATAAAATAAACTTTTAAATCCATTTCCCCCTAAAATACCAAAATTCCCCTTTATTCATCCATTCTTTTAATATGTCTTAAACACAATTTTCCCAATTTATTTCTTCTACTTTACCATTTATTCAATTTAATACTCCAAATTTTAAATTCTTTCATTATAGTCACTGACCCGATGTTTGGAGTATTACAGGTTGAATTTCTTAAGGACTACGACTACGTGATAGATTATCATCCAGGAAAGGCAAATGTGGTAGTCGATGCCTTAAGCATAAAGTCAATGACTAAGTTGCAAGCTCTCCTAACACGTTTGAGTTTATCTAATGACGGTGGTTTTCTAACTGAGTTGCAAGTCAAGCCAGAGTTGGTAGGTGAAGTCAATATGCTACAAATTTCAGATGACCAGCTGAGAAGTTTCATCGAGCAGGTTCGCCAGGGCGAGGCCTCAGGTTTTGAGCTTCGAGATAGAGATGTGTTATATTTTAGGGGTCGGTTGTACGTACCCACTGATGCTTAGTTGTGCTGTAAGATTCTCTATGAAGCACTCTATAACCCACTCTCTGTTCACCCAGGTAGTAACAAGATGTACCAGAAGCTTCGTAGATTATTCTATTGGCCAGGAAAGAAAAGAGAAGTGCCTGAGTTCGTAGCGAGATGTCTAATATGTCAACAGGTTAAGGTGGAACACCAGGCTTCCTCAGGCCTTCTTAAGCCCATTCAGATTCCTCATTTGAAATAGGAAATGGTAACCATGGACTATGTGACTGAGTTACCAATGACTAGGCAGAGACATGACGCGGTTTGGGTCATAGTAGACTGCCTAACCAAATCAACTCACTTCCTCCCAGTTAGGATGGACTATATATTAGAAAGGTTAGCTCAGTTGTATATTCATGAGATAGAGAGGTTGCACGGTGTACCAACTTCTATCATTTTAGACAAGGATACTCGTTTCACTGCTCGCTTCTAGGAAGCTCTTCATGAGTCCCTAGGCACCCGACTACACTTCAGCACATATTTACATCCTCGAACATATGGTCAGTTAGAACGAGTTACCAGATTCTCGAGGACATGCTCAGGTATACTATCATCGATTTGGAGGGTAGTTGGGAAGACCACTTTCCATTAGTGGAGTTTTCCTACAACAATAGTTTCCAATCGAGCATTTAGATGGCTCCATATGAGGCCTTGTATGGGTGAAAGTATAGGACTCTGCTTTGTTGGAAAAAGCTCATTGAGGGTAAAATAGTAGGCCCAAGCTTGATCTGAGAGACATAAGAGAAGGTTCGGTTGATTTAGAGTTGGCTTAAGGAGGCTTCAAATAGACAAAGGTCTTATGCATATTTGAAGCTAAGGGCATCAAGTTCACAGTTGGGGATAAGGTATTCCTTAGAGTTGTCTTAAGGAGGCTTCAGACAAACAGAGGTATTACGCATATTTGAAGAAGGTGTTCTGCGTTGGGCACAAGGGCAAGTTGACTCATTGTTTCATAGGACCTGATGAGATTCTTGAGAAAGATGGACCAGTGGCTTACAGACTAGCTTTACCACCAGAGTTGGAGTGCATTCATAATGTGTTCTATGTATCTATGCTCAGAAGATACCACTTTTATCCTTTGTATGTCATACATTTAGAACAGATTGAGGTCAGCTCAGATATGACCTGTTGAGAGAAACTAGTCAAAATTTTGGTGAGCGAAGTGAAGAAATTAAGGAACAAGAGGATTCATTTGGTGAAAGTGATATGGAGGAACCATGGCGTTGAGGAAGTGACATAGGAAATAAAGGAGGACATGAATCTTTAGCATCTTCACCTCTTCTACCCAAGTAAATTTTGAGGACACAATTTTATGTAGGAGGGAGAGTTGTAACACCTCGAATCATGTGTTAAAAGTATTAGGCTAACCTGAGATGGGTCTTGGTTTAAATTTATTAACTTGTAGAAAACCTTAACCCAAATTAAAGTGGATTTGGGCTTGAGGTAAGCACAATAGTGAATAAAAAGGGTTTTTTTAATCTGCAGTCAAAATTGGAGGGACCAAGAAAATATTATACCTTTTTTTTTAAAAATAAAGTTGAAATCCTTTAATTGAAGTTGATTTCACATATTTTTTCCCTTCCTTATTTTCTCAACTCTCCTTTGTCATTTTCTTCTTCCAAGGTTTCATATTCATTCTTAGAAAACTTGAGCAAAGGTGAGAGTTTTATTTTATCTCAAGTTTATCCCTTTTAACCAAGTTAAGAACCACATTCTACTCTTTTTAAGCTTCATTTCAAGCCCACTCTTGCAAGGTTTGATAATGGATGCTAAAAAAAGGTTTTGAATGGGTTTAAGGAATTCAAAGAATCCAACTCATTTTTAGTGTTTCCTAGATATAGAAAGTGTTTTTAAACCCTTCTTAGCCTTCACTTTCAGCTAGTAACCTTTGTTATGAATCTTGTTTAGTGAGGGAGGTTAGAGAAAGCTCCAAATCTAAAGGGAAGGAGAAACTCACCCTTGGTTGAGCATTGGGTGTTTTTAGCATTTTAGCATCAAAGGTAGCTCACTCTTAACTCAAATATACCATGTGTAACTCATTTAGATGAAATGTTGTAGGTTGCATAAGCTTGAAGCATTCATATGGTAGATTTCATGTTTTAGAGTAATAAACATGTTTAAGGCACTATTTATGCTCCTTTGTAGCTTCATAAAACATTAATAATGTTTGAAGAACTCACTAAGGTCTTTGAGATAGTAGAATATGAGTTCCGATGCAGAATTTCGGATCTGAACGAAGAGTACCCGATGGTGCTTCAGCAGTGGCAGAAAGGTGCTAGAGCTCTGAGATACAAAATCCCTTAACCGCTCCATGACGCCGACCACAGATTAGCATTCCAGTAGTTGTACACTTAGACTTGTGCCACTTGTCATTTTTTTAGTGAATGTATATTATAGATACTCATTTTGTACGGAGTTTTTATTTAAGTTTCATTTGCGTCTATGTATACATATCTTATTAGTTAGTTCAAATATAAAGATTTATTAGGTTAATTATTTAATTACATATATGTATGGTGCATATTATATAGATACATATTATATTATATTATATTATATTATATTATATTATATTATATTATATTATATTATATATTATATATATTATATTATATTATATTATATTATATTATATTATATTATTATATTATATTATATTATATTATATTATATTATATTATATTATATTATATTATATTATTATATTATATTATATTATATTATATATATTATTATATTATATTATATTATTTATATTATATTATATTATATTATATTATATTATATTTATTATATTATATTATATTATATTATATTATATTATATTATATTATATTATATTATATTATATATTATATTATATTATATTATATTATATTATTATATTATATATATTATATTATATTATATATATATTTATATTATATTATATTATTATATATATTATATTATATTATATTATATATATTATATTATATTATATTATATTATATTATATTATATTATATTATATTATATTATATTATTGTTCATTGTATTATATATATGTTTGTGTGTGATTAAATATGTATGGGCCACTTATTAATAATTATTAATATTAATTATGCTTACATATAATATTATTGTTAGTTTAATTACTATTAATTATGTGTTATACATATTATTATAGGTGTATGTGATTATTACTATATACATATAAATATATTATAAGTAATTAAATTGAAATATATATACTTAAATATTAGTGGAATTTAAAAGAGCACTAATTTTATTAATTTTATTTTATAGGCCCAAAATTAACTACATGATGCCCAAAGCAATTATAAGGAAAAGTGGCCCAAATAGTAGACAAAACCCAAACTGAAGCAGGACCATTTGGTTAGGGCTTGGTGAAAGACCCTAACCTCCCCCTTTTTGTCCAACTCCGCCAAGAGATCTAAATCATCAGCTCTGTTACCAATTCGAACTGTTCATATCAAGTCTAACCAGGTGATGATTAGGGGTTTAAACCCTACACTTCAACGCAACCAACTGTTAGATTTGCTTTCAAGATCTAACAACACAGATTTGTTAAGAACGCCTGAAGTCGTGCGTGTAGTGCACAAGAGGCTACCCAACTTCCCAATCGACTGGATCTCATGTGTGGGGTGCACGCACGTCGCTCCAGCCGCATCCCAAGCTTCCCCACGCGTACACCTCAACCATTTATGTTGTAACCAAGAACATGTAGCAGTCGTATGTCATCTACCACATTCCCTCAACAATGGCAGAGCCTTCCCCCCGATGCATGTAGACAAAACAGAATAAAATTGTCATAAAATACAGAGAAATCAGCAAGGAGAAAAATAAAATGGGCATAGATCTTTAATCTATCATCACTCCCATCGATTGGGGGATGAAGGATAACTAAAAAAGGGAAGAGGGCATTTTTTTCTCCTAAACAACATAACCAACAGTGCACAAAAAATAAAAGGAAAATCCCTTTTTCGATCATCACCAAAGAACACAACATAAAAAAAGAGCTTTCTTTTTTTCCTCAGTAGAACAAAAACTAAAAGGAGAGGAAAAGGTTTTATGACCGAGCAACCAAAAAATCCAAATCACAAGAAGACCATAAAGAAAAACAACCTCACATTCCCCGTCCGAAAAGGATTATCTCTTCCCGTCGGGATTCAAACACCACTAAGTCGAAGTTAACCCTTCTTTTGAGTGTATTTTGGGGGTTTGAATGGTGATTTATCGAGGTGTTACTAGTTTTAGCTGTTGTGGTTAGAAAGATGAGACGTTTAGGAGTATTTTGGCTACTCGTTGGAGCCCTTAGATGGCGCTTGGTTTCAAAGAAAAAATGAAAAGAAAGAAATAGGAGGGAGAGATAGGAGAGTAAGGTGGTGTTTGTTTTCACTGTGCAAGCTCTTCAAACCACTTATGTCTGCATAGCGCAGACCACGCGCTGACATTAGGCTTTGCAGACTGTTTGTTTTTTAGAAGACAGAAGCTCTTAAAACGTCTACGCGGACTCTTCTTGGTGCAGACTTGGTTTTATGTCTTCATAGGTCTTCAAACCTCTTCAAGAACAATTATAAAATATAATTATTTATTAAAATAATTTTAAATAATTTAAGGTTATTTATTTTAAATAATTTATTTTAAAATAATTTATTATAAAATAATTTATTTTAAATAATTTATTATAAATAATTTATTTTAAAATAATTTATTATAAAATAATTTATTTTAAAATAATTTATTATAAAATAATTTATTTTAAAATAATTTATTATAAAATAATTTATTATAAAATAATTTATTTTAAAATATGGATTGATTTATTTTAAAATAATTTATTTTAAATAATTTATTAGTATGGATTGATTTATTTTAAAATATGGATTTATTTATTTTAAATAATTTATTAGTATGGATTGATTTATTTTAAAATATGGATTGATTTATTTTAAATAATTTATTAGTATGGATTGATTTATTTTAAAATATAAATTAATTTATTTTAAATAATTTATTTGTATGGATTGATTTATTTTAAAATATGGATTGATTTAGTATTGTAGTTGTATGGATTGATTTATTTTAAATAATTTATTTGTATGGATTGATTTATTTTAAAATATGGATTGATTTATTATTGTAGTTGTATGGATTGATTTATTTTAAATAATTTATTAGTATGGATTGATTTATTTT